TATTTATAACTAATTTATATTTAAACTGCATACGGACAACGTACATACTAACAAAATACATTATAAATAAAGATAATTAAAATAAATTACATATGTATTGAAAATGCATAATTAACAGAATTTTTTTAAACTTTTGATGTCTAAACCATTTATTTTAGAAATCCCGCTGGGGTCTTACTTTAATTTTAGCTTGATTTGGACAAGGTGGAAAAGTTTAAGCACTCTCAAATGATTAAACACAGTTACAAAGTCTTGCATCTAAACTATCAAGCTATATATTAGATTTTCTCTTTACTAATGTCTTTTAGGTTCAAATATTTTCTGTTTTTATAGGTTTAATAGACTATTTTAAATTACCGACTTTTGACTCCGAAGTTTATATTTTTTCGACAGGTTACCTACTCTGTGGTAGGACATCCTGGTACCAAGTCAAGTAAGAGCAACGTAAAGAAGTAAAATATAACTTTCAATCGGTACAATTTTGGGGAAAATGAACTGCTATATATTTTCTTACACGACAAAATCATCGGAAAACAGTAAACTTTCCTCTCAAATTACACCGATAATAATATGTTTGATTTTACTTATTTTGGTTGCTCTTACTTGACCAAGTACCAGAATGTCCTACCACAGAAAAGGTAACCTGTCGAAAAAATATAAACTTCGGAGTCAAAAGTCGGTAATATGAAAATAGTCTATAGCTTTGTGTATTGAACTGTTGGTGTTTTACCTTTTTATCTTGTTCTTTTGACCATTTCTTTAATTTCTACTGTATTCTTGTAAGCACTCGACAAATTTATTTTATATCTATACTATATGCTCTGTATGCTATTATTGTTATAGAAGGCTCTATATATATATATATATTTTCAATTTAGACTTGCTTATATTTTTTCGTTTGGGCTTGTATTATATTTGCCTTCGGGTTTATATGATCCGTTCATCCTATTTTGACTCCTCAACATTCAAGAGTCTATCCTAAATTGAGGTAAATTATATGGCCTTCCAAATACCGTTTCGATTCCTAACATCACTGAAGAGACATTAATTGTCGAAATCCGGATATGGTGTACAAAAATATTTGCACCTTTTGTTTGCGGTATACCATCTTTTCTGCTAGTTTATTGTTTTCTGTTTGGTATTAAATTTATAATCAAGATCCATTTATTACACCGGGTGATCCGTTTATTTGGCAATCGCCAATGGCAGTCAGCAGGGTTTAAGAACATTTGTTGTTCGACCTGTTAGTCAAATGCGTTTTGTTAAAATATACTTTTTCACTTTTTTGGTCTTTTGGAAAATGTTGTTTGTGCTGTATTTAGACCCCTCTAACAAGAAATTTGTTTTGCATGCTAACGTATAAAAATTGCGGTTTTTATCCAACGCAATCATAGGTTTGAACGTTGTTTTCAATTTAGACTTGCTTATATATATTGTTATGTTTTGAACTTAAAAAATTGTACTTTAAAGTAATTTTAGTACTAACAGTCCTTTAATTAGCAGTGATCTAAAACTAAGTGTAATGTCCCACTTCCCTATTGTGACAAAATTGGCAAGATTGTGTTATTGTATGACAAGCAGTTCATCCAAGTAAATATTATGTTTTCAAAATAAAGAAAAAATTAGATTTCACAAAACATGTATTTCTCTGTATGCACAACGTACGTATGACTTATAAATGTTACTAACTCGTGTCTTAAGAATAATTGAATCTATTATGTAGATAATTAACATATGTTGATTTGATTGCTGATCAGTAAATTAAGTTACATTGTGTGGCCTTGACTTGTTTCATGTTTATGTTACATTTAGTGACCTTTACTTGTTTTTAGCTTGGTCTTTATGTAATTCCCACATAACAACCATCTCGATACAGTTTACTACTACTGGGTGTTTAACGACCTTGACTACCCATGAGGGTGTCGCACGGTCGGTAATTTTATACGTAGACATATTTAGAACATGACATATGTTATAGACATACGTCTCTTGTTTAAGATCTCATGGTTACTACGAGATGACTTTTGATAGTTTGGGTCGTTGGGTTGTCGTAAAACTAACGTACGTATTATTCACCACATCTTTTTATATCTCTATTTATTCATTCGGAACTATATAATATGTCTTATTTAAAGCACAAATTTTAATTTGCTTCACCCATAACAACCAAAACATATAAACATTTCGATTTAGTCCTTCTAAGCCAAAAAAGTTAAAATCTAATATAATTGCTGATTTATAATATTTATTCGTTGTTTGTCCACAAATATACATAAATTCATGTATAAAAGAGATGAGGGGTACACATTGTAAAGGGAACAAAATCCTGACGTCACTAATCTAGATGTCAACATATAGTCTTAAAAAATACTGATGTCTATGCAATATGTCCTCTAAATTGAATGTGTGAATAAATCAAAAAAATGACTGCCTGAAATCACCCATCTATCTACATCAAATCCTCAAAATCACAGAAAAACAAAACATTAAGATATAATAAATGGCATGCAAACACTTATGATATAGATTTTAAAAATATAAACGTCAATTAAGGTATTTTTGTGTTTGTTTTTCTTGTTTTCGGATCTCTATATTGAAACGAAATGCTTTGTATTGTACATGCACTTTAAAAAAATGTATACAATTTATAAAATATAACCGAAATCACAGTATTGATTTTTAATAGTCTTTACATACTTGAGCAAATTTCAAAACAAGATTTAAATGATCGATAGAAAATATCTAAGCTTTAATTGGTGTTTCTGTGACTATAGGGCGTCATTTATATTTTTACTTATAAGACATAATTCCGATTATACTTTAATCGCCCAAGGTTCTTGGGTCAATATATTCTAAAATTTACTACCAACAAGATCAGCTTTATTCATTTTACTCAGTCAAGTCACCCAAACACTATAGCTATATACTGTGTAACATATATCGGTCAATAATACTTGGAGTGGCAAAACCCCCTGTATCATTATTCAATAAGGTCAAAAGAAGTGAGTGTAAAAAAAAAGAAAGGAAAATATGAAAAGAAAAAATGACAGTGAGTCAAATAAAATACCGAAATGCCGTTCGTTTGTCAATGTGCACCAATGACCAACTGACAATGATGTAAACAACTATAAGTCAGCGTACGGCCTCCACCAATGAGCATAACACATATCGTATAGTAAGCAATAACAGGCCCGAGAAAGAAGAGTGTGTACCAATTCAAATAAGGAGGTTAAGCATTAAACGGTAATTTGTTTATTTTTCCAATGAATTTGAATTGCAATCAGACTTTGTTACATACACACCTGTTATCTAACAATAAGCTAATGAAGTAAAGTGTTATCAGCTTACTAGGTAACATCCGCAGATGTGTGACCTCTGTTTAGTGCAGTCTAATGTATGTTAGATATTTAGTAATACATAGATAGATAAAGATAGATCAATAGAGGACCCATATTGATTATGTTTTAATGTTGTACAATGCATAATACAAGTTGCTTTGCATATCATGCACCACACTTAATGGTGTAAAAAGTTCGATTATAAATTCCCGGTAATAAGTAACAAATGTTTTATTATGTATACCCATCACATATCTTGTTGGAGATGTCATTTAATTTTATTTCTTATGTTTCAATGTTTACTTGTTTTTTTTTCTGAAATATGACTTTTACGAGAAACTTTTTCCGAATGCTCATTCGAGTATAAAAAGTATGTCAAATTGTTAAGGGATATGTCTTGATTTTAAAAAATGCTCCCTAACCGGCGTGTGTCTAAATCCGGTTGAGATTCAAATTTTTATATCATTGGAAGGTTTCATATTCTTTGCAGCTTTCTCATGTTGAGTACATTTGATAACAGTTTGGAGTTAATTCATAGCTGGAGAGAAAAAAAACTACCTGCAAAACCCATTAATAAGTAAAATAATAGTTACAAAATCATTTCGAGTTACGTTCGCTTTATATCTACCCTTGTGTGATCGTGTCCTTTTTTCGGCCAAAAAATCTTATCCCAGTGCTTTGAAATGATCCAAGTATGCAAATAATTATATATGATCTATAGCATCATTTTATACGACCAAATATGTGACAACTCAGTGCAGATAGTCTACATCGGCTTATCCCGTGTTATAATGGACTAGCAACACAAATTACATATCTTCTTCCGATAAGCGGTCCCAGTCAACTGGTTGACTATTCTGCAACATTTTTGGAGTATACATACTTCGTCTGACTGAAATTTAGCCTAAACTTTTAGATCTGCTATTTTTGTCCTCCCCTCCGCGAGATTTAAACACGCGTTTAAACAAATGCTTATGAGAGCTTGTTGCAACTCCCTTTGCATTGTTCCATGCGCCATAGACAATGTATATGTACACAGAAAGTCTACATACACTTTTAATATAATTAATCTTTTATCTTTAATGTAAATATAAAAACAAATGTAAATTTGTTTATTATCCAGACAACTTCCGAAATATGTTTAAGAGGTTTAAATAATTTATACTGTAAAGTATTTCATGATATCTAACATGTCTAACTAGACAAGATCAATAACAGACACTTCACATTAAACACATGTGCAGTAAAGTAAATATTCCGTACAGACTCAAACAGTTTCTAGCAAGACTCTAACAATATATGATATTTCATTTATAAATGTGACATATTGATCTTTGCATGTATTGTGACATGAAGGTATACAAATTATAATTGCAAATTATGTCACACATAAAAACGCACTGCTAACTCAATCTATATCACAAAAAGATTACCGGGACAGAAAATCAGTGTATTTTGCATGTAAATACCGATGATTCCGATCTCAAGGCAGAAGCACCACAACTAGTCGGTATGGAAAAGCTGTCAATCCCGAGTGTCAATAAACCAAGGAAAAAAAACAGACTCATTTTTCATCAATGCTTATAATTATATAAATACATTTTAAATATTCATTTACAAGTAATAATATTTAAACATGTTAAATTTAAATATGCTCCCTACCTTGCACTGTTAATTCTTCGACATCAATCCGTACAATGTTTGGGAATCCCCATGTTTTTATATATGCAATGTTTTAATATATTTTAGGGAATCCTCTGATCCTATGATACTTTGATTAACACTAAATTTCCTCAGCAAGACTCCTACATATATTATTCAAAACTTTACGATTTCCGAAAACGCGTGCTACCAGATATCATTCCCGGAAGAAAATTACTACTATCAAGTCGGTCACACTTTAATAATATCATTTGCGTGTCAATAATTTGTAAATATGACATAAAGGATATAGATCACTGATAGATCGACTCGAGACGGTACATATTGAATTAGATTTCAATGATTACAATAATTATTGGACTTCAAAAAGTAAATGAAAACAGTAGCACATATACTTCAGTAGATCAAAGCTATTTTTAACATATTAACAAGGTCAGGAAACATTTATTTATAAACGCTATACTAGGAAATCCAGAAATGAAAAAAAACCAGCTACGTCATGAGCTCATGATACATGCTTCGTCTCCTTTTTCGAAATGGAACTTACTTCTCCAACTAAGACACATATATTAATTTGAAAAATTGCCCATCAATTTGTCTTAAACATTCAATATCAGGAATGACATCAGCAAAGATTATCAAAATCGAAAGAATATATACTTTCATCATCCTTACATTGTAAAAACCATGTATCAAATCCACTAGGAAACACCGTATAACGAAAATATGAATCTTTACAAAAAAGACTTCAGCCTTAAATAGAGAGGGTAAAAGTCGAAAAGGGGTCAATCAATATATAAAACTTATAAACATTGTCTTTATTTTAATTTATATTGTCATGTCACACTTAAAACAGACAAAATAATATCTACTTCAAGGATTGATAGCTAAACTGTACCACTAATGAGATGACCTCAGTTCTACTTTGTGAACTTTCATTTTGTTTACTGTACGTGTAGCAATACCAGCGGCATCTGCAAAAGAAGTTTGTATCTAACAGTTATTCTAGTTCTTGTGTTTTCTATTAGGAGAGTTTGCTTACAATTCATCGACTGAAACCAGGTTCATTCAGGGTAATTAGAATTCATATCTTCTAAAGTAAAACCAATACATTACCTAATTGTGGTCATGTTTTACTATTTAACAATAAGGAATCTTTCCGACCCTCTAATGAACTCAAAAACTTGTCTAAAGATATTTTCATTTTGATCTCGAGTAAGTAAATAACTGTCCGAGGTTAATAGTTCTATCTTGAATGACAGTCATTTTGGGAGCCAGATAAAATTTCATATGTCTAAATGAAAATAAACTTTAGTTACAGTTCAAAAAGAAATGTTGCAAGTCTTCACGAGAGCTTTTCAACAAAGGGTTCCTAAATGGTAATGCTAAAGTCATCATTCGAAAAAAAATTACAATCACAATCTTCATGCTATTTGGGTTTCTGGCACATAAGCAGAAATATTTTAAAATATTGCAATGATATTTTTTTTTTACTTTTTATACATAGAATTGAGAATGGAAACGAGGAATGTGTCAAAGGGAAAACAACCCGACCAAATTGTTGAAAACAGCCCAAAGCCACCAATGGGTTTCAACGCAGCGAGAAAATTCCGCACCCGAAGGCGGGCTTCAGCTGGCCCTAAGCAATAATGTACACTAGTAAAGCGAAATAGACGCCTCACTAAACTATAAATGAACCAAAAATTAAAAAAAAACCAAACACACACACAAGACTAATAAAGGCTACAGGTTCCAAACTTTGGACAGACGGATAAATGCAGCGGGGTTAAACATGTTTTGTGATTGCAATCCTCCCCCTATACCCATAGACAATATGGAATAAACAAACACACAGCAATACAAACAGTAAAACTCAGTTTAAAAGAAGTCCGAGTCAGATGTTAAAATAGGTAACAGAAACTACGCAAAATGACAATGATCAACATAAATTAACAAAGGACTACTATCAGTTACTAACATGCCAGCTCCAAGCCCAAATTAAAGTGATCAAAAGATAATGTCTTCATCAAATGAAAATCAAACACGATTCCTCCCGTTAGGGGTTTGGTATCATGCCATCATAAATTATACGAGAAGAACATAACCCGAATCATGCCAACAACTGGTCTCAGAATAAATGTGTTTATTTCGAAGCAAATACCATATGAGTGAATCTATACTAATCCCAAAAAATACCATCGTTAATGACTTGACAACAGTATCGTAACTATACCCCTCCTGAATAAGTCTGTTTAAAGGTAAGGTTAGCCTTTGAGGTGAATAACGACTTTTTGTGCTTTGTATAGAATATCACCATAAAAGATGGGATGTGAAATACTTGAACGTATAAAATATCTGTACGTTGATTTATATTTACGAATGATGTCCTTTTGTAGTAAAATTTTTGACAAGTGCGAGTTCGTATGTAACTACTGCAAAGTTTTCATTAAGATGGTCTGTGACCTTATAAACTTGATTTTAATGTCACTTTGTTTAAATCTTTGGAATACATTTTAGTTTGTTTTGAGATACATACCTGTATAACTCAACATTTAAAATATTAACAAGAAGGACAATGTCATATAACATCGCATGACATTGGTATATCAAAATAAGTATTAAATGCATAAATTGAATCTTATACCAATAAAAGTAACCAACTTTACATACACATATATTTCTGGACTAATAGCAATATTCCAGGAATACGGTTTCACAGAGGAATATACAATCTTTGGATCTGCATCTTACCGTATAATATACTTTCTCCAGACTTTTAAGAATTAATAGAACATGGATTTGTTGAACTATGGACAATACAGCCATATAATCTCTTGGGTAACAGAGCGCATCATTCATAACATATTGTGTCACGTTGATCTTCATACAATAACTATGTAATGAATTGACTACAGTGCATAATGAAAATCGAAGAACATTACATTTATATACCATAACAGTCTTCATGCCCTTTGGCTTTCAGACACTTACTCATACCAATTTAAAAATATTGCCATATTATTTTTTTTTAAACTTTTTCTATATGCATGTAGATATGCGAAGTTCATATGTACCTACTACCCTGTTTTCATTAAGTTGGTCTATTACCTTTTTAAACTTAGGGTATAGTGTTACTATGTTTACATTTTTAGTACATTTTAGTTTGTTTTTCAATACATACATTTAAAATATTAACATGAAGGACAATGTCATAACATACATGTATACATTTCGGAACCAAGGCATGTAATTGACGGACACAGGAATACTATTGTATCAAAATAGGTATAAAATACAGAAATTTAATTTATATTGGTATTTGAATAAAGGTAACCAACTTAACATTTACATATATTTCAGGACTCAGAATATCAATATTCTTGGCATACGCGGTTTCACTGAGGATTTATACAATCTGCATACTTACTCAAGACTTTTAAGAACTATTAGAACATGGAATTGTTGAACTAAGGACAATACAGCCGGATAATCTAAATCATTTATATAATATCTATTTGTATATGTTTCATTTGTTTGCTAATGGTATTTTTTGATTTTTTCTTTTGGAGGGAGGTGGGGTCATAAATCAGGCGACTGGTATTCTCGATTGAATTAAATCCCATTTTGTAATGTCGGGGTCTTTTATAGCTGACTATACGCTCTTGGTTTTGCTCGCTGTTGACGACCGTATGCTACACTATAGTTGCTTAAATCCACATCAATTGGACTCTGGTGGAAAGTTATCTCATAGGCGATCCTACCAAATCCCCTTATTTTTATTTTTACTGTGTGTCCAGACGCACATTTCCTCTACGTAAGAAACATTAGTGTGGCAATCGAACCAAAACAATGAGAAGGCCAAACAATAATGAAGATACAGAAGATTGAAAAATAAGGCAATAAGATAGGTTGTACCAAATATGGCTGAGGCAATCTATGACTAGGTTAGAAAAACCTTGTGTCGGAAAGATTTAACATTATATGAACATTAAATTGACAGAAAAGGACCGTATAAATGATCGCATACATATTAATTATCCTTCTATTGACTTATTTTTTTCCAAATAAGGCCTTTGGAGAAAACCTGTCTGCTTAAGAAGTATAAATAAAACTTAAATAAGCTTTCTCTGTATATGTACACTTATAATCAGGAAAGTATTTCCGAGTGCCCACTTGAAACGTAATAATGTTCGAATATTCGAATATAAGTTCAAGAGGTAAACTGTGTAAGTAGGGGAACGTGCTCGTGCAAACGAAGTTAGATACAAAACATTTTTACTCAAATAGCCACCAAAGGATAGAAATTCTGTTTTGGAATATGTCAAAACAAATCAAACAAGCGTTGTGATAAAACTAATCTAAAATAAAGTAAAAACAAATATAGGTAAATATAATTAGGACAAGTTTGAGCTTTTTCGTCAATTTCAATTTTATTTACTTTGACGTACGTTCTTAATGTACGCGTGTTAAAGGAAAAAGTGCAAAAAAAAGTTAAATCACAAAAATACTGAACTCCGAGGAAAATTCAAAACGGAAAGTCCCTAATCAAATGGCAAAATCAAAAGCACAAATACATCAAACGAACGGACAACTACTGTCATATTCCTGACTTGGTACAGGCATAGTGCACAAACTACCTTGTATTCATCGATGTCAATGTGGTTTCTATGTGTCACAGTCTTGTCTATCCTGCATACCTGAAAACTAATTATATCTTTATTTAAAACTTTCGCATATGGTCATGTTTAGATTAAGATAAAAGGAACTTTGGAATACACGTTTAACTTGTTTGATTCTAGTGTCACTGATGAGTCTTTTGTAGACGAAACGCGCGGCTGTCGAATAAAATTATAAGTCTGGTATCTTTGATGGATTTTTTTTACAACCACTGTGTCGACGCTGGTGGAGTTTTCCCCCTGAGGATATTATCAGGCCAGTAGTGAGCACATATATGTTGACATTAGTTATCATTGATATGGTGATATGAATGGATAAACAGTTTACAAAACTATGACTTGTCAAAAAACTAGGGATTTTCTACCTCAGGAATGGTTTACCTTAGCTGTATGTGGCAAATCGGAATTTTTGGTCCTCAATGCTCTTCAACTTCGTACCTTTTTTTGCCTTTTTACTTTCAACTTTATTGATTCAAGCGTCACTGATGAGTCTTTTGTAGACGAATGCGCGTCTGGCGTATTAAATAAAAGCCTGGTATCTTTGATGAGTTATAATTTACAAGAAAGTTACCAACGACACAGACAACAAGAAAACATCTGAAATATTCGATACTAAGGACTTGGTACTCCTAGGTATAGTTTGCCGTAGCCATTTTCGGCACAACTTTTCAGTTTTTTAAAGCTCTACAACTTCGTATTTTATTTGGCCTTCGAACTATTTTAATTCGAGCGCCACTG